GTTTCTAAATTTTTTTTTATAAAAAGTAGCTTAAAAGTAGCTAAAGCTACTTTTGAAAAAAGCAGCTAATAGCGCGCTACTTTTTTTGACAAATAGCGAAAGAGGTAGCGCGCTACTTTTTTTGACAAATAGCGAAAGCGGTAGCGCGCTACTTTTTTTGACAAATAGCTATTACGGTAGCGCGCTACTTTTAAAAATAGCGTTTAACAACTCTGGTCGCACCACCCCTAGTTGGTATATTATATCTTAAAATAATAGTAGATTGTAAATATTAAAAATATATTCGTATTAAAAATTTAACTCAAAACTGTTTTTCAAAGAAGAAAAAAATAGCTTTCCTAAAAACACGTAAAAAAGAGAAAAAAAGATATCTAATTTATTACATCCATTGTAAGATGAATAATAAGAAGTTTAATTTTAATTATATATTTAATGAATAGATGGCGTTAAATAATTGAATGCTAAATGTTATTCATATTTATTATCAAAGCATTTATTATTAAAATTTTAAAATTATTAATTGTAATATATTATATAACTGTCAAATATGTCTGTAAAAGTGGCATTTTACCTAATATTTTATAAATAATTATATATTATAAAGGGTTATAAACTATAAATCTACTTACTTTTTATAAATAAATATCTTATATATACTCATTTGGATTTGGACCTCAAAAATAATTTTAGGAAGAGACATGATAATTAAATTTAAAAATCAATAATGTAGTTGATTAGTGATTTTGAACTCGGCTAATTACAATATTATATTTGTTAATTTTCAATTAATAAATGATTATATTTATTTAATTAAGGTTATATAATAATTTAAATAATAAAAGTCAATTAAGCTTCAACTGTTAATACTAAATTAATATTTATTGAGTGGTATTATAAATTTTTAACACAGAATTTGATTGCAAGCTAACAGAGTGAACATTATTTATATGTATTAATCTAATCTAATAATTAAAATAGTATTCATTTAAAAAAAATTTAGATAGTTTTATTAATTTTTAAATAATAAAATTAAATCTATATATTATTCAATAGAATTATAAAAGAAATCGTTCAGGGGGCAATTAAAAAAATTATTTTTAGTTCAAGGGGATATTAAGGAGCAATTAATAAAAAAAATTTTTTGCTTCTGGAGGCTATTCAAATTTTTTAGGGCCTAGCGACACCATTGGAGCATATAGTGAAACTCATTTCTCTACCAGTTCCATTTTATAGTTATATTTAACAAAATATTTATTTTTATTTTAGACTTCCAACTTGAATATTGAATACTAGTTATACACTTGAGTCGAGTAGAGGACCTAGTATTTATGAATTCGCGTCATCAACTTGAGTCAACTAGAGGACGAATTCTAAAATTTGTATTTTTGTAGAATTATTTAACAAACAACATTTGGTCGACTAGAAGACCAGTAGTTGTTATGAACTCGAGTCAACTTGAGGACGAGTATTTCAGATTAGTTATTATTAATTAACAAAATATTTATTTTTACTTTAGACTTCCAACTTGAGTCGTGAATACGAGTTATATACTTTTCGTCGATTAGAGGAGGAGTAGTTCTTATGAACTCGAGTCATCAAGAATCGACTAGAGGACGAGTAGAATAGTAGGAATAGGGAAGATCGGGGCAAAATTGAATTTAAGCTTTAAGGCTTTTATCAGAATTGTAAATAAACATATAACAATTTAATTAATCCATACACTTTATCCCAGCAAGATGTTTATTATAAAAATGGGGAAGGGGGTGGGTTATTACTAAAAACCTATTATTACTGTGTTGTATTAGAAGAACCAGAGATTTTAAAATTATCTTTATCGAGTTAATTTTTATCGAGATAATTTTTATCCCACAATATTATATTAGCTAGCTCACTATTTTACAAATATTATTTATATTTAATTACTTAAACTTAAACAGCTTTTTAAAAAGTCATATGTCCTTTTTGAAAACTTAGTGTTCTTCTTTAATCCAAATAAGCAAGGTAAATACGTGATGGATTTGGAAAAGAAGAATATGAGACTAAAAACTCAAAAATTCATTTTAATTTTTTTTTAATAGTGCAAGAAAACGAGCATTGGTTTGATTCTGAGATATATCTGTTCAGATTTCTCCCTCTATTATATGTAAGACTAAGAATTATTATTTTTATTTTTTACTATAAAAAATTTTTTTAAAAAAAAAGATTTTTTTGGGGAAAAACGGCAACTGATTTATGTTTTCCTTCTTTAGGCTGTGTCCTAAATATAAAAAAGCTACTAAAAAATTTTAAGAATTCCATAACTTTCGTGAGTTTGAGAGATATGAAACATGTTCCAAATCATCTATTTTCAAATTTTAATTTACAGCGTTTCTTAAAGTCACCCGAAATATCATCTCAGACTTGGTGCGCGAATCAAAATATCGGCTTAGCCTTATAGTGCGAACAGAAGGAATTGCCTTAGCTTTGGAGCTCAAACAAAAAAGATAAACCTTTCAGCGCTAGCTGAAAAAATCGGATCCGTCTTGGAATGCAAGCCATTAAATTAATTAGCTAATTGCATTGATTTTTATTTAAAAAAATTATATAATTTTATAATGATAAAAAAAATCATCATTAAAAAGTATATGTGTTTCTGTTGATAACTTCAAATTAGAGGATGTTTTTACAGTAAAAGAAATATGAAATGTTTTCATTGAAAATGAACTTCCCCATATTAAATGAGTGGTAAAATTTTTTTTATTTTTTATAATTTGAAAAGAAAAGTAATAAATTTATTTATTATGAAGAAAAGAAAAATAACAAGTTAAAATTTTTTTTAATTAGGATGTTATCTATAAAAAAAAATATACAAAATTGTGAAATACACGGAAAAGAAAACGTGGGTTTTTTAAAAAAAAATCTGAACCCGAACCGAATCTGAACCCCATTTATAAAATTTTTAAAACCCCGAACCGAACCAGGGAAATGTATTTTTAAAATCATATATTAAGATATTTGTATAATTGTAAATACAAATATTAATAATTTAAAATATTTTCAAATTTCTAATTAAGTGAAGTGTTAATAAATTTTAAACAACTCAATTCATTTATGCCATTTTTAAAATTGCATAAATTTATTCTGAAAGATTCCTATTGGAGTGTTAATAAATTTTAAACAATTAAATTCATTTACGCTGTTTATTTTTAAATTTTAACTTATTCTCAAAGATTATTAATTAGATGAAAATGAAAGTGAAAGTGAGCAATTCAAAGTAAAAGTAGATTTCGATGTTATTACTCTTACCTCATTCATCGTTACTTTCGAGGCTTAATATTTTAGTGTATCTATGGATATGTACGTTTTACCTATCCATTAGATTTGGATGGTATGGCGTTACATATATTTGAATTGAATATTTTCTTGCTTACAAAAATGTTTAAGCTCCGCCGAAATCAATTGCAGTCCATTATCAGACACCAGTTGTCTAGGTGTTACCAAATCTCGCAAAAACTTTTATCATATTTTCGGCTGTCGTTGATTTAACTCCACTTCCACCCAATTGGAATATACCCCGCTCCCATGGACTTGTTGGGATATAGAGTATAACGGCGTTTCTGCAATTCCTGGCCGTGTTGTTTTACATTTCCGATTAACGGTACCAACAATAAAATTCTAGTATTGACTTTATGGTCTCAATTCCCGTGTGACCCCTACGGAGGTACATTAAAAATTTTTTAAGCAAGACATTTGAAATAACTAATCTCCCATCTAATTCTAATATACCGTTATCTAAGGATAACGCATTTCGTTTCCTCGCAAACTGTTGTAGTTTAAAATCTGCGTTATTATAATCCTGACTAAGCTATATATCTACATAATTTTTTACCTTATATAGATATCTTTAATGATCTCCTCTTTGAGCCGTTTTTCCGTCAGATCCATATACTCCATGTTGATACTTGATATTTCCTGAACGTGCTTTTCATTATTGTTTTCGTTATTTTCATAGGTAGTCGGGATAGTGTATCTGCCATCACGTTCTCGCTTTTTGAATTATAGTGCATCTGCTAGCACGTTCTCGCTTTTTCAATTGGCCATTTTTCAGGCCAATCTTGATTGTCGATTATTTACATGTTTCATTTAGTTGCGCAAAAATCATTGGTTATTTTTTATTTTGTAATCATAAATAATAAAAATAAGTTATTTAATTTTACAATATAATTGAATGAAGAAGCATCGATATCATTAATACAGACTTAAGCGATAATATTAGATACTCTTTATTTGCATTTTTTAAAAAGGGAACAATTGACTGTTTGGCCACTCTATAGCGGCCGACTAGGAGATCTAGAATTTTTAGTTTTTTAAAAAAATAAAATAATTATCATTATAGATGTTAGGGATCAGCATCAGCCATATTTTTCAGGTCCTGCCCGACACGAAATTTTTATTTTAATTTATCTGACCAGACCTGATTCCTAACAATTTTTTTTTATTTGTTCCTGTAACCCCTAACCTAAATAAAAATTTGTCAGCCCAGTCTAGCTCTAAATTATATTTAAAGATAGAATTCAAATTTTAAGCCCCGCCCTGCCGGCTCTTATTTAATTTTAAAGAAATATTAAACCAAACTCAACCCGAACCCAAATTTTTTTCCTAAATATAGGCCCGGCTCGAGCATAATTTTTCAGATATACAAATGAAATCAAACATAAAATATAGTAGTTATGAAGAATAGATCTCATCTAAAGTTTTTAGAACTTTGATCATATGACCATTGATTTTAACTTTCAAAATGTTTAGCCCTTTGATAAAGCTTGTATCAAAGTTATATTTATGATATGATAATATATAAGTATTTTCAAAAAGAGCATGATTAAATGTTTTTTAACCTTTATAGACTTAATCATTATTATTTTATTTAATCGGAAATATTTTTATTGGTTGAAACATAATAATAATATTATTATGCTTGTATTGGGGATACACTGACAATCAAAAAAAAAAGATAAAAACAACAATATTATACAAATTATTGTAGATCATATTATAAATATAAGCGAAAGCTGATCATAATTCTGTGTGTTATAAAAATAAATAATTTATTTATAAAAAAATACAAATAAATTCCGTTTGTTTTGTGTACTGCTAAAAATTTTTTAGAGGATGTCTATAAATCTCCGAAAATTCCGGCAAATGTTTTCCTCAAATTACCCATAGTATCTCCTACAATATCTTTGTCAACCTTTTCTTTGCTATAAGAATTAGATCTAGATCGCACGCTATCACCGAAATTATCGAAAGTGTTTGAAGAACCACTATAAGCACCATAATCAAGATCCATAAGATCTCTATGTTGCTGTTTAGGTGCATTACTGGTGGGAAAAGTGATATTATCTCTTTTGGGGGAAGACATTACGCTATCCTGGTGGCCAGCAGAGGAATCCAAAATCTTAACTAAAGAATTTTGGCGAGACGGGCTTTGTCCCGGGTAACGAGAAGCTGGTGGTATATTGGCCATCGTAGAGGAAGCCACAGTCGATGGAGCTATATATGCTGCTTGAGATTTTTGCGACAACCTATTTGTGGCATCGGTCGTGTTAGTAGATTTAAGAGTATTATAATTAGCGGTATAATTCTTTGGATGAGGTGGAATTGGGGGTGGTCTAGAGTCGCCAGCTCTTGTCGTTTGAGAAGTCTGCCCACCACTACTAGTTGCTAGGCCGTACAAGTTATCTTGACTACGCGCGTTTCCTTTGCCATATTCCTTAACATTGGTGTTTGGTATAGACAAAGGGATCGACGTTGTGTGCTGATAATAATATAAATTATCAGGAGAAGAATCAAATTTTTCTCGACTTGAATCGGTGGCATCACGGGGAGTGAAATTGCTTTCGATATCTTTCATGCTTTGAGATCGCGTTGCTAAGGATTGCTGCAACTGTTGCTGAGGGGTCTTGGATTGGATAGATGATTTTCTCTTATCGCTTTGATGTTCGGTTGGTGAAGGTTCACTATTTTACATATTAATAGTTTAGCTTTAAAATACCATTTTATAGAAACTGTTATATTTATGTTTTTACTTATTGAGGTGTTATTAAATATTTTCCAAATATGCTTTTCTCTAATTTTTAATGAAGGACCACAGAATTATTTTCTTTCAAAATAAGTTAAAGTTCTTAACAAAACACGAGCTTGTATAACCTGATAAGAACAAGTAACGACTGCTCCATTTTATTCACAGTTAACTCAGCTATGATTCTTCTATCTTCTTCTTGCGACTCTCCTAATAGATTCATCGAGCAATCGTTCACCTTTTTTTTAAAAAGTAAAAATATAAAGATTTATGAAAATTTAATTGTAACCTATCAAGAAGTAGAATCATTTTTTCTCAATTTTGACAGAGCTTTCAACATTATGATAGATGGGGAATTCGAAGAAAATAAATAGTCGGGAAGAAGGGTGATGATTTCTCATCACAAAAATTTGAAATTTAAACCATTCTTCAAAAAATTTCAATCAAAATAGCCATACCTCAAGAACCTACATTTTTTTTAGGTAACCCAATACGAAATTTTTTTTTTTCTAATCCGATAAATAGATTATGGAAACAAAGTTTTATTTTGTTGAGCTATTCCCGGTCGGAAATTAATTTTAAAATCGATGCAAAATGAAACTAAATCAAAAAATAAATGTCTGCTCGAGTCAGATCGACCCACATGCCCGATCGATATTAGACCGGATTGGCGCTCAGGTCTGTCCTCGTGTAATTTAAAAATATTTGTCAAAATTGATTGGCTAATCCCGAAAAAAAAGATTACCCCCCCCCCCCCACTTAAGACAGTGATTCATTTTATTTTTAAATAGAAATCTGTTTACCATATTTATAGCTTCCTCTAAACTGAATAAAAAGAGTCAGGCTATTCAGATTTAGTACACACTTAAAAACATCACAGAATAAGGTTGTTAGTTCAAAATCTGAATTGGCTGGTCTAAACAGAAACAAGTTTCAAAAATAATACACTGGCACTGCCTAACCACTCAATTGGCTTTTCTAATCATTTATATAAAATATATTAAAATTGGCTAATTTTTAGGTATGTTCTTGTTTGTATTTTTATTACAAATCTGGCGTTTAGTCCTTAGTTATCTGTCATGCAAATTTTTGTAAGATTTACATTTAAAAAATAATAATTTTTGTTTGAACCAAATTTCTTTATTTGGGACCCACAATTAATATTATTTGATTTTAATCAAAATTCAATCTTCTATTGCATTCAATGCAATGAAACCTCTCATTTTTTCAGAAATCTTAAACTCCAGGTAAAAGTTTTACTTACAAAGTAATAATATTATAGCGGAAATAAAAAAAAAGGAGTATTCTCATTATTGTTAAAAAAAATATCATTACCTATCTATTCGATAAATTTTTGTCAATATTTTTTTAAAGAATATTAAGCCATCAATTTTTAAAACGGTTTTTTTAGATTTAATTAAATTTCGCTATAGTAAAAAAAATGAAATATTTAATCTATGGACACTTGTCAAATTTATACAATTTATAAAAATTATTTATTTTTTTGAAATATTAATTTTAAAACTATTTTTTTTACCCCTATAATATATTCCCTTCCTTCTCTAGCCTTGATGGCCTCCACCGCCAAAATATCCAACCCGCCGAATAATTTAGAGCATTCGTCTACCCAAAGCTTGTATCTATATTTTAAAAAAATCTAATTATTTATTGAATCGAAAAGCGTTAAAATTGTTTCTTTTTTTAAGTCAAAATCTAATTTAAATATTTATACTATTAATATTTTTTATATTTGTCTAATCGATAAGTATAACGCGGTTCGGTTCCATTCCAATTTTTGGTTTAAAATTGCACAAATGATTGGTTCCAATTAGGTTATTTTTGAACAAATCGAATATCGACTCATTTTGCGGTATCTTTTTTGTATAATTATCAGATACATGCAGGCACGGTCCTAAGCCCGGCCCGGATACACGGGCCGGAACTTATTTTAATTTTTGATATACCCGTACCAGGCCGGGCAGCGCGTATATTTTAAAACCTAATATTTTAAATCGCAATTATATATATAAATTTAAAATAAATATGATATATTTTTAAAAAAATCCAGGCTAGGCCTGAAAATTTTTTTAAAAAAAAATAGGGGCAGAGCAGGTCCTAAAAATATAAAACAAGGGTCGGGCTGGATCGATATTTTTTAAATCCGGTTCGGTCCGTGTAAATGGTACCTCTGCAGGTCTCTGATATTTATAAATCATTAATATATTGACTCAAAATATTGATATAAATATATATATATTTTTTTAAATTAAGACGAAGCAAAAATATTTTAAAAACTTAAGAGTAAAAAACCAAGCAAAAACTAATATAAAAAAAATGAGTTCAATTTATTTTATTTCATAATAAAACATGAATAAAAAATAATAAATTAAGTAACGAACTATAACATACAAAACATAAAACCTGTAATTTTTTCTAAAATATTAAATAATTCTTCGATTCCTTTTAAAGTCAATATAATTTCAAAATCGGTGTGACAGTATTCATAACAGTTCGACTTTCCCTTTTCTAAATATCCTTATGATGGTTCATTTACGGTTTGGAAATTTACGGTTCATTAGGTTTTGTGGTTCGGTTCGACACCAAAGTTAAGTTTGTCCTGATAAAATGAATATTATCAGTAAAATGCTACTATAACGAATATATTCACAATCCTGTTTTTTATCTTTACACATTATATTAACTGATTGCCGGAAATATTTAGTTCAACATGAATAAGGAAAGTTTCTCGTAATGGGTATATAATTATAGGGTGGTTTCAAAACTGACTATATATTTAATCTCTAAGTACTAAATAATTAAATATACTGTCAAATATGATGTTAGAAAAAATTCGTTAAAATTAAATTATATTCTGAAACTTATGTATATAATTAGGTATTAGAGGGGAGTTATTAGGCATAATTAGATGTCTATTATATTTAAAAAAGAAAAATTCAAATTAACTTTTCATTGACAGGTATTTCTTCCAATATAGACGATCCCGTATTAGCTTTCCAATTTCCGGAGATGGATTTCCTCCTACAAATAAAATAAACAGTTATGCAGTTATGAAATCAAGTATAGGTAAAAGACAGGCGCGTACGCAGGAATTTGGTCTGGGGGGGGGGGGATAATAAATTTTTTTAAGAAATAATATTTTTAATTAAAAATACTAAGCATAAATTTATTAGGATTAATAACTTTTCTAATACACAATTTTAAACTAATGTGAATTAAAAAAATTATATATATAAACCGGCATTTAAATGTGAATCATAAAATATAAAGTGAATATAACCCACGATATGAATCACCTAAATGACCCAAAATTGAAATTTGAATTTTTTGAGCTTTTAAAATATATAAAGTATAAAAAATTTAAATGTTGTAAATATAAATTAATACACAAAAAGTTTCTTAGGAATAATTGTATTTTGTATGTTTTGAGCTAATTTTTCAATTATCAATCCTTGCTTGGCGTTAAATGTCTATGAATATTCAAAAGATCCAAATCATTCAATCTACTTTCAGATGTTGTATTTCATAGGTATGTTTTTCACAGACTTGCAGGCCCGGCCCCTGAGCCGGACCGTATTTTAATTTTTTTAAATATACCCGGGCCGGGCTCGTAATTTTTTTTTTAAAAACAACCGGGCTGGGCCTGAAAATTTTTTAAGAAAAAATATCCGAGCCGAGTTATATATTTTAAAACCAAATATTTGAAATCGCCATTATTAGCTATAAATATCAAAAATAAATATAATTTATTTTAAAAAATTCGGGCTAAGCCAGCCGGGCCGGGCTTGAAAATTTTTTTAAAAAAAACCCGGGCCGGAAAAAATTTTAAAATAAAATCTGGGCCTGGTCCTGCAAATGGTACCTCTGCAAGGCTCTGTTATTCTTCTTAAAAAAGTGAATGTTCTCTCATTAGTTTACTAAAGAGCTGCTAATATATATATAACCATTTTAATAATTGGGAGTATAATCTAAAATGTGTTTGAAATAAAAAGCATCCATAGCATTTTTTGGGACTGTATCAACCATAGTTAATCTTTTAATCATAGTTATTCAGCTAATAAGGCATCATAAGATATTTTAACATCTTCATGATAAAAATATAACAAATATTTATATTTTTTTCTATCACCATATGAAAAAGGTTGGGAGAGGGGACATTTGTTTTATAATATTCTACTGATCCTATATTAATGTTTTGATGATGAGCTTGCTTGCTGCAAGTCGAGGGGGACAAATATTTAACACGTATAGCTCTGCTTTTGACTCAACAATAACATATAAAATATGAAATTCTTCAACAACACTAGCTCTATTTCCTTGAGTTCTAATAAAATGCTCTCCGCTATTCTCATCTTCTTAATCAAGTCAATGTTATGTTTTTGAAAAGTATTACATAAAATAGTTGTATAATTAAATAATACATTCTAATGAGAAAAAAAATTTGGAATAAGTATTGAATCCAATAATTTTCTTGCTTCTGAGGAAATATTTCTTTCAAGCCATTGTGATATTTCAGTAATAGCATTAATAATCAGCTCTTCTAACTCCAAAATAGCTGTTACTGTGGCGGAGACTCGATCTCGTTGGACAAGCTTGCAATTTTTTTCTCCCTGTTGGACAAGGAGTTTCAAAGATAATTATTATTTTATTAGAAATTTAGATAAATATTACGCCACTAAAATTTGAAAATAATAGGTAAATTACGCCAAGGAAAACTTGAAATCGAAATTGATTGATAAAATAACTTAGTAGATGAATGTGATAAATAAATGTAATTAAATATATATATATATATATATATAAGAGATAAGAATAAATATTAACAAATATAAATTAATATTAACAATAATATTTTTGAAAAATATAATCCGGCATCTGCATTTTTTGGCTTTGGGGGGGGGGAAGGGATTTGTCCCCCTGCCCCCCCCGCTGCGTACGCGCCTGGTAAAAGAAGAATAGTAAATTAATCATAATAAAGCAGACCATAGAAGAAATATGATTTAGTCACACGAAAATATAAAAATAATGTAGATATACTAACCAGACATTGAATTAATGTATAATATATAGAAGATCTAAACTAAATAGTATTTTGATAGAAATATATACTATCCATCCTTCCTCTCTTATCCTTATACACAATCATATATTTACAACGCAATAATCTAATAATATAAAGCTTTCGACAGCATTGTTAGGCAAGTAACATGTTATTTTTACGATTACGAACGGAAAGACAGTAGGCCAAATAAAAATGGTAAGATTTTATAAGTAGACGTTACTCAAAAGGGTAACGTAGTTATATTTCGCGTTACTCTTTCTTAAAATAATAAGCCCCAGTTACATTTAAAAAGATAACGTGGTTATTTTCCCTTTTTAAAAAGTGCCCAAGTCATTACTTTGAATGAGCTTGCTTATTATATAAATCTCAAAATTCAAAGATATAATAACACAGATTTTTTTTATTACGACTATGCTTATTCTATAAATATATTTATTTTTTAAAAATTTTTTTATTAACTTTTAATTTTATTATAACTATTATAATTGTTTGTCAATTATCCTATAAACAATTTCAGCCAGATTTTTTTTATTACGACTATGCTTATTCTATAAATATATTAATTTTTTAAACAATTTTTTATTAACTTTTAATTTTATTATAACTATTATAATTGTTTGTCAATTATCCCATAAACAATTTCAGCACTACCTATTAAACAAGTCAATAGATGCTGAGGATGGCGAGGGGTATATTATTCTATCGATAAAGTCTTAGTATTTTAAAATTTTTCCAAGGATGTATCTATTAAGGCTAAAAATTAAATAATAAATATGATTGTAATATGAAAATAGAAAGTAAGGAATAAAGTGAAAAGTAACAAGTTACTTTAATTTATTATTTTTGTAACATGGTAAAGACATTACCTATTTAGGAGGGAGGGGAGGGTATATATAACGCGTTATATACAGTGCTATTATATATATTAGCGTCAATGTGTTTTTTCCAGCAATTTACAACTTTAAATCATTCTTTGAGCGTATTTTTTTAAGTTTAAAAATCATATTTTACCTGAAAAATATTCTACCATGTTTGGCATACCTATCTTATACATTGTAGACAATTTTTCTGTTAATCTTTAAGTCATTTAAAATTTATATAAAAAATAGAGTCAATACCGTTTAATTGTATAACGCTTAAGTGTAGTGTAAATATTTTTAAATGTGAAAAAAATTCGCCATTTTGTTGAAATCTATAATGGCATATAGTTTTTTAAATGCAAATGGTAATTGCGAAATATCGGTTAAATGAGAAAAATTTTAAGTCCCATTTATATGTTAACAACGCTATTTTTATTGGATAATTGCGAAGCGGTAAATTTTGAATTGGAGATTACCAATAAATAATTAAAAAATTATTTTAGAATTTACATCAACCCCTTAAATTTATGTTACCCAAATGAGTTTTTTTTATTTGAGGGTAGGGGCTTAATTACCGAGTATCACATAATTCTTATTTTATGCTTAAATTATTATAGAAAATTTAGTATAGATAGAATCAAAATTATCACAATGCCTTAAATAAACTACCAGCAACTAGGAAAAATAGCTTTCCAAAAACAAAGACAGCATTATAAATTTGGCTTGCACAGATATTGAGCCCAAATTGCAATCTGAAGGGCCTTTTCATGTTAGAAAAAGATAGAATTTACAGCAAAACATTTGATGAGGTGGTTCTTATTTTATAAATATCTAAAATTTTTCATAATTCTAGGTGGCTTCAGAGATTTATAAAAGGAAAAGATATTAATTTCACACATCTGCTATAAAAGAGTGAGCGCCGACTTGGAAAGTTTATTTTTTTTAAATATAAATAATAAGATTTGCTTTATTACCTATAAAGGTATGTGCAGAAAGTGATTTGATTACTTAAATAAAGTTATAAAAGAGATAGCCAAACCTCATTATTTACCTAATAAAAGCAAAGCTATAAATGAATATGACATCTTTATCCCGTATGCATAACCTAATTTGTAGGACCAAGAATCATTAAGAAGGCTATTATTTCAAATTAATTAATTTTATAAAAATTATTTATCTGTTTATATATTCAATATGATAAAGGAAAATAAAATATCATGTGTGTTGTAATTTTAATTTGACAATTCAAATTTTCAAATAGGAAATTAAAAACATTTCTCATTAAGTAAAATTGGATTATCACTATTCACTCATTTGATTTATTCATCATTGATTGATCCTAATTTATTTAACAGAGTCTTACATAAATTTAAGTATTATCTTAGTTAGCACATTTTAAAGTAAGGTTTAAATATTATATTTCTTGTTACAACTTTCAAGTTGTTTAGATTTCTTATCAAATTTTGCTATAATTAATGAATTTAAGACTTTATTAAGTGTTTTAGATATAAATATAGACAACATTGTAAAGAGGTAACAAACAATATTTTTCTTTCATCCTTATATATATTTATTAAATGTTTCTCTAAAATTATTGAATGTATAAAATTTGAAAAGAAATCTTCATATGATTTTATTTGTGTATTTTGGATCATCCTAAACTAATTTATATAAAAAATTTTTAAAAATATCCCGATTAGAGACAAATTGGAAAATAATATTTTTAATCATTAATTTTTTTTTAATAAAGGCAATAGGTGTACTTTAAAGATGCCAAATTTGATAGCTGTAAAGCTTAATAACACAAAATTGACGTATATTAACAAAAAATTATATTTAATCATATAATTGCGAAAATTAAAATAAGTGCGAAAAAATAATTTTTTTCAGTCCCAACGCTTCGCAATTATCCGGGTTTTGACTGTGTAAGGAAAATCTAATATATGGAATAATGTCTGAAATTTCATAGAGTAGTCAAACATGATGGGATACATTTCTAGTAAAATCAAATAATGATCTGTTGAAAAAATAACACATTGACGCTAACATATTACATTTAAATTATTTAATTACTCGTCACGTTCAATTCTAATCAGCAATTTAATAGTGAACAAATTTTTAATATCAACGGGTGTCATATAAAAAAATCATTGAATTTTTTTTATACATCATAATGATGGATTATATTCCAAATTTACAATTTTGGCAACATAATTCTCGCAGGAGTTTCTTAAGGTACCAAAAATTAAATTCCTAATCTGATCTTTTTTAGATGATGAAATTTCCTCCTCTAAGCAATCAAGCAATTAGCTCTAATAAGGAAAATTCGAGATCAGAATCAGCTCCAATCATGCTGTATTACAAATAAAGATCCCCCTAAACTGAAGTTTAAACAAATCGATTCTGTGTAACAATCAAGAGTAGCGTTCCAAAAAATTTAGTATCGTTTCAAATACTTAGCCATAACAACCTTTAGAGACTTAGATTTAATTGGAGATTCGATAGCACGCATAAAATTTTTAATGAATATATATACTATCTGCTTAACTATATAGATTGGAGATGTGGGTCTTAATAAACCAAAAACCTGCCTCGATTCTATATGTTTTTCAGACAAACTGCCTCACATGCATTATACCCATCATCAGCGGGAGACTCCCGTATTTTTTAGTTTATAACCTCTCGATAAATTCGCACACTTGTTAATCTCCCGCAATTTTATGATTTCTACCGCATTAATTTTTTTCTAGCATTTTAAGGTTTTTATTTATAATTAATAATTTTATAAACAGTAATTGATTATTTTTTCAAAAAACATGTTAGGTTTATCAATTTTCTTCATTCTAATATGTTTTATCCAATAATAACACGACATCATAATAATCATGTGTTTATTTTTTATCTAGACTGAACTATATTTCCTTGAGATTGAATCTGTTTTCTCTTAACACCTGGCAGCCCCGATTTACCATGTATATATTAAACTTTATGTTGAATTTTTAAAGTTATGAAGAAAATAAAAGTTATGCTAATCCAATTGGAATTATGGTAGTATATATTAGAGATCTACAAAGTTAGGCCCCCGTACCCGGCCCGAGTCGCTTGGGCCTAATTATATTTAAAATAATCAGTTCGGGCCGGGCCTTATATTTCTAAAAAATTCGAGCCAGATCGGGTCGGACCTTGGAATTTTTTTTAAATATATCTAAATTTATCAATTTTATATTGAATTTTTTATGTAAAATAAAAATATTTGATTTTATTTATTGAAACTTAACGACATATAACATATATTTTTTATTTTAAGTAATTATAAAAATGAATTTCTATATTTAGATAAATTCAGGCCGGGCCGGGTCGTTAAATTTTTTTTAGAAAAATTTTGGGCCGGGCTTGAAAAATTAGGCCCGATGCAGATCACTAGTATATATATATAAAGATTTACATGAAGGCTTTATAATGCTGTCCGATTTTTTGAACGTGAATATCGTACTTGCTCTCGATGTAAGGTTCTATGGTAGAATAACATTCGCTAACAGCTATAATACTTGTTATGTCTTGGAAGTCATAATGGTTATCTATCTTTATCTTGATTTATATTTAATTTTTTGCATTATATTAATATTTAATTATATAATATTTATTTGATATTCTATTCACCCCAACATATTTTATTATATATCAGATATGGGGATGCCATACTATTGTAAAATAATAATAATAAAGTTATTTTAGAAAATACAAAACTATAAACTTCTGCTTATTTATATTTCAAATTGAATCTCTATTTGGACTTCTCCATAAGTCGCTGTTAGTTATATAAGAAAATCAAACTAAATGTTTATCAAACATGCCTGACATTCAATCCAATTAGAAAAGGGCTTATATAACAATTCCAAATTTTTAAAATATTTGAGTTTAATTCATAATATTAATTCAAAGAATGATTAAAGATATTTCAAGATCTCTATAAAAATAATATGCACAGCTCACTATAATTCTAAATCGGAGATTAGGCCTTATATTCGTATTATCTTAAGGTACTCGAATATACCATGACCAAACGAACATATGTTCCCTTCTGAAATTAAAACAAATCATGATTTTCTATCGCTTAACTTTCAATTTAATGTGGTGATAATTGATGTATCTTTCCAATTATATGACGAAATTATTGATATAAACATATAATGGTATTACAAATAAAACACTATCAAATACTAGTTTTATAAAGGAAAAAAAAATATTTGGTTTAATGTGACAAAACAAAAATAACCTAGTGATTCAGCTAATCAATTTAACTATGGGATACTAATGAATTTACAAAGCACACTAAGTATATTCCAGCAACAAAGTTTTTTGCTAGGTTGCTAGGTCTACCCAAAAATGTATACCACATGTTCCTCTCTGTATATTAAAATTTTTTGAATATACCAAGTTCGGACCTAAAATATTTTTTCTATAGTACCCGGGCCGGGCCTAAAAATTTAAAAAATCAGGGCCGGGGCGGGCCGGACCTAAAAAACTAAAATCGGGGTTGTGCAAATGGTACCTCTTCTGCAGGTCTATGAAATATTAAACCGAAGCTTTCTGCTCTTATCTAAAAAAAATGTATTGAGTTAGAAGAGGGGAGTTATATGAGCTTATTTTGAGATAATAAATTGTCAAATTCATTTTTTAGAATTAATTTAAAAAGATCTTTTTTTTTGAAATTGCAAAAATTATTAAAAAAATATGAGTTTGTATTTTATTTTTTATGTTTCAATCAACATATTTTCTAAACTTGTGTTTTATTTTTTTTTTCTAACTACACACATTTCATGTCCGTCACTAAAAAGTCCCTAGAATTTATAATATCATGTCATGTCATTCTATTTAGTTCTTTTTCATTTAATTTTTTTTCTTAGATTATAATTATCAATTTTGCTAGCAGTGCTTTACTAGATAGTAAACCCTATAGAAGGCCCTGATTTCACTATAATAACTTAGTATCTTCATATATTTATAAAATTATAGATAGAAAGAAAATGTCAGAAGGATATTTTATATTTTTTTAAGAAGCATTATTTTACAATCATATACATATATAGACGGTGGCGTATCCAGGATTTTCTTATGGGGGGGGGGGGGGGGGTAATTTAATTTTTTTATTGAAAATACTAATAGTAGTGTGTATAAAATATTAATGTTGTTAAACGGCTCGTTTTGAGCCGATTTTTAAAAATGGCTAACTCAATATTTTCGCCAGAAAAATATTAACTAAGCCTCGAAATTTCGATACTATATGTCTAGACTTTTGCTCCTTCTATGAGAAAAATTTTCAGGCTTGCATTATATTTTTCTGGATAAATAACTGAGTTAGCCGCTTTTAAAAATCGGCTCAAAACGAGGTGTTTAACAACACTATAAAATATTGACTAGAAAATAATTTAAAAAACAAGTTTTTTTAAACTTCTTATCAAATACAATATTATACAATTTTTTTTTATTAAATACTATAATTATAATGTGATTTTTAATTTTCGTGGGAATGTTGCCAATTCATCTAGAATTTTGTTTGTCGTTGGAACCAAATCTCTGTGAATATTTAACAGAGCTAACCCATTTAGCCGAGATTCGGAAGTAGTACTTCATAAATATGTTTTCAACCTTCTTAAGTTGGAAAGTCCTTTCATTCGTACATGTTATAATAGGCAAACATGGTAGAATATAAAACAACTTCAAAATATTAAGAATTTGAGCCAAGGTTTCTTTACACCGATTGAGCGCATCAATAGCATGCTCAGGTAAAATAGCTAAATATTTATACCACAATTCGAATTCACTGATTAAATTGATTTCAGTATCAATATCATAGGAATAAAATTTTGCTAAATATTCAATTTTACCAATAGTGGCATTAGAAAACGAAGATGGATCTTTGGGTATTAAAACTTGAAGATTGCTAAAGACTTGTTTTATCTAAAAACCGTACTTTTATTTGCGATAAAAAAGTATCTAAGAATGGGATGAAAGTTGATATTTTATAATATTCTTCAGTTGAGCCAATATTTATTTTGCATCTCAATAATTGCCCAGGTGCTAGGCGAGGTTTAATTAGTGTTATATCATAAAATTTAGCCTTCGATTCAACGTCTATATAAATATTATGAAAATATTCATCTACATTCATTCTTATCGTATCTACCTGTTCATAGATATTTTCCGCCAAATCAATAACCTGAACCAAATCTAATGGTTTTTGTAAATTTCTACAAAGTAGTGAGCTATAGGAAAATAATTTATTGATGCAACTAGCAGCAATGATAAACTCTGATTGATCAATTGAATTCAAATAATGATATCGCTTCTGACGACACATTACTTTTTTTCATGCTCAGCCTTATTTAACTTTTGTATTTCTATTTCTTCTGTTCTACAAAATCGAAGTAAAGATAAAATATTTAAAAAATTATAGATATTTATTAATAATTAATATTAAAAATACTTATTAATTCTAACTTACTAATAATTTTGAATTTAATAAAATAATTATATATAATAATAAAATAAATTACCATTTGATTTCAATCTCTATGCTTAAAATTTTTCCATTTTATTAATATTTTTGAATAATGTTAATGTACTCACAAGGAAAGGAAATTTTAATAAAATTTATTTATGAAAAATAAGTTTTATGTTAGAAAATTGATACTCAAATAATTGTAAAATTTTAATTGGGGGGGGGGGGGGTGGAGGGTAAAATTTTTATTAGCTTAAAATGTGCGATAGGGGGGGAATCCCCCCCCTCCATTGGTTACGCGCCTGATAGACGACAAAAGGGTAGTATAGTATATTTTCCCATCTCGTTCTGCCAGTGAGAATGGCTAAAAGAAGGTTTTACCAATTTAAATTATTTACATTAATTATACATAGTATAATCTTATATGCAAAATATATATATATATTTATGACTTCTTTTTTTTTGTCGTATAATCTTTGTATTAGAAATATTACATGCATCATTGCATTTTTATAATTTAAAAAAAAAAATATATAATAATTTATTTCAATTTAAATATAACATAAAATTATTTATGTATTTTTTTTTCTCCCATAGTTATTATATTTTTTTCTTATAAATAAATTTTCTAAGATTAGAAAGCTAATCGCCACACTGTATTGCTGGAAGAAGAAAAATTTAAACCTAGGACTTAGAGTAATTTTTACACAATCGGTGCAATGATAGTGGGGACTATTTTTTAGAAATTTTTTTATACCACAAATTTTAGGTAATTTATAGAAATGGATAGACTAATAACTCCTTTATTTTTATTTGCGTGGAATTGTTTTATATAATTACCACCTCTATTTAAATATGCATGTAATAAAAAATTTAATAATCAATCAATGATAAATGTTTCAATATAAAAAAAAAATTAGCTAACCTTTCCACTCCCATTGTGAAAATGTCCTATTTTGACGACAATCGGAAATTTCGGCGTAATCATCTATCGATAATAAAGAAAAATTATAAGGTTTGAATTAGATTACAAAACGAAATTAATCACGTATTTTTTTGAACCCTGGTTCCGGGTAGTGTTATTAAAAGGCTCTATTTTTAAAAACGGCGAACCCGATATTTTAAACAAAAAATATTACGCAAACTTAGAGGGTTTGCTCATAAAGAGCAGAATGGTTTAGACATCTATAAACTGAATCTCGAAGCTTGCGTAATATTTTCTTTGGCTAAAATATGAATTGTCCGTTTTTAAAAAATCGAGCCGTTTAACAACACTAGTTCCTGGGCTTATAAAAAAAATATGGATAAGTTTTATCAGATATTTATAATATATGACCATATTTTTAAAAAAATATATATTGAGAGGTTACATTATAATTTATTTTCTCTTATAATACATTATTCTTTATTGCTCTTTTTAAACGGCCCGATTAAGATTTTAGCCATAATTATAATGTAAGCCTCCAGGTTTGGCATATAGAGGTCGAAACCCTTCTGCCATATCTACGAGCATAGCAACACTAAATCGTATCCTCAAAATAATTAATTAAGTTTTTTAACACCCCAAGAACCTATCTAATATTTAAAAAATAAGAAAGAAAAAAAAACTTTGTTTTTGAATAAGATATAAATTTATTTGAACAAGATACTAAAACTTATCAAATAAAATTTTTTTAGAGAGTTTTACGAGAAGTGAGTAATTTACAATTGACATACAGTACATCAAATTTGAAAAATATATATGATCCAAAGAGTTGTGTATTTAAATCTTATAATAATCGGTTTATAAGAAAAAAAGAGTTTATCCTACTCCGCATATAATAGTTCATGTCAATAAAATTATCAAGAAAAATTTATATTATAATATATTTAATCCTTATTTTATTATATAGTACATAATTAATGAAATAATATAAGAAAAGAAGGAACATTCATATTTTAATTAAAAATAAGCAAATAGGTACTTTTAAACTTATTGATATGCATCATTTGAGCAGGGTTGTAAACCAGAATTTGGGTTAATAAATTTTAGACTTATTAGCGGAAATTTTTATAACAGGAATTGAATCAAAACTGATTTTCTACAAAGAGGTCCGAACCTGCCCCATGTTCATTTTATCCCGGATTCGATGGGTTGTCAATAAAAAGTCTCGGTTTGGTCTGTAGCCTCAAAATACCCAATAAAACAATTTTAAATTTCTGAACCTGAACTCGGGTTCACAATCCTGCTTTTGGAATTAGCTAGTTCCTTAAAAAACTATGGAACATAAGACAAATTATTACGGCAGAAAAATTTATAGTAAAAAAAATGAAACTGGTGTTGACACCAAAGTAAAATATTTGCATCTATTCTCGTTGTTCATTTGGTGTATAATATAAAAAAAATTTAAAAGTGTTTAAAAATTTATAACTCTACAAAATAGTTTTTTTCTCTATTAAAAGGATTTCTAATGAGTTGTCACTCTTTTTCCCGGTTGATTAGCTTTAATTTAATCCTAGGATGACTCCAGATCCAACAGTGACTTTCGCCCCAGCGTTTAAACTGAATCGTGATTTTAATCACCAATACGTTATATTACTTGAATAACTTTAAAAAAATTAGGTTACCATCGTGATAAATCTTAATAAGTAAATATAAACTAACCTAAAATCAAGCCTGTTTTTTGATCACGGGTATATTTTTAAAAAATATAATTAATATTATTACCCAGCAGAATCGTTGGGTAGGGGCACAACTTCGGTCAAGATCATCTAATAATCTCCTAAAAAACTCTTTTTTTCTCTCTTCGGTTAATTTTAAAATAAAATTTTGCCTCCTTAAGTTGAAAAAAATCTTGCGATACTATTCGTGTTACCAGATTCTTTGTTTCCCTACTAATCTGACAAGAGTTAACTAGAACTTTAAAGTTCCATTGAGAATTAAATAAGTGAAATTGAGGGACACCAAAGAGTAGGGTAAAATACAAATCTAGGGATGTCAAAATTTCTTCTAAACAATGATCGATATATGAACAGTTGTGCTTCAAAATTCAGATCGTAATAAAAATTCATTTAATTTTAATATTTAATATATATTCTTTTCTTTTCTTTACATTTCTTTCCATTTTTAATAAAAATTTATAACCAATTTGTTGCGAAATTTCATGAAAATTGAATATGATAAATATTTACAATATTATTTAATGATTTTATACATTTTTAAATAAAAAACTTATACAAGATAAATTTTCATCTCCGACCTATTATTAATTCTTTTTTTACAGTTGTTCATATTACATCTTCATAAAATAATACTACATTGCATATATAACATACAGATACATTAATGAGATTGGTTAAACCTCTAAAAATGACCATAGTTTTATATTCTAACGAAGACTCGGCCTAGTTCAGTGCCTCCCTATTAAAACCTTACTTAACATCTTCTGTATATTGATCACATCTTTCCATTTTGAAAAAAAAAACGAAATTATAATTGAATGGTCAACTTACAAAGGTTAAATTTCATAATAACAAACAACCAGAAATTAATGTTAAAAAAAAGTAAATTCTAAACAAAAAAAAATATAATAATAGTTTTTTAACGTTTATTAGCAATTTAGCACACCATCAAAATTTGTTAAGGGAAGAAGATGTACTATTTCTTTATAATAAACAGATGTATATCAGTTCCAACTAGGAACGTGTCCAGTTTGGACAAAATTTTGCCTACTCAACAAATTAAATTAAAAAAAACCCTAATCTTCACTGGATTGGTAAAAATTAATATTTTACTATTATCCACTGTATTTAAAACAAAAGAAATAGTGTATTTTTTAAAAAAATCATATTTATTATTTTTGATTTTACATGTTTTTATCTTAGTTTATAAAAATTTTATATAAATATATCTTACTGTAATATATTGGTATTTTTGAGTACAGATTATTACATAGTCATATATATGTTTTTCAATGCAATTATTTCTTTATTTAAATTGTATTTTCCTTTAAACTAATTTGATGAAAATGAGTGAAATTTGTTTGTGTAATAAAAAAATTAATAAATTATGAGTTATATAAAAATTTAAATTATTTAATTATTCAAAATGTAACATTTAGCTAGTTACTTTTCAAAAGTAACTTTTTGCAACACTTGTATTTTCCATATTTCGAGCCATATACCATAAATAATATAAACGATTTAAAGGTATTATGACAAAGTTTTCATTATTTTAAAAGGTACACCTAAGGCTCAATTTATAATAAACGATTATAAAAAGTTAAATTTTTGTCATCAAATATATTTTTAGTCCATATTTTTTTATTATATTAAATTTTTTTATTATATATAAAATATTTTTTTTTACAATATTATATTACATAGTAATAGAATATAAAAACCCATCTCATAAATCATCTCCATTATAATATTTTTTTAAAAAATGCTTGTAATATATATTAAATATCTCAACAATTATTTTGCAATTACATAATTGTAACTTATAAGTGTAACATTTACGTTTGTATATTGAAAAAATGACTTTAAAAAAATACACTTGAAATTTCTTGATATATATATAATTGTATGTAGATTTATATAAGCATATTAATATTTAGAAGTTAATAGTAGTCATCATACAATAGAGTTTTGGTAGGGTAGGTGAAATGTGACATTTTTATTTTACGTATTTTATTTATTGAAATAAAATAACCATTTTTAAATGTTATTTTATGAACAATTATCTAAGATATAGATTATTATTAAATATTTTCTTTAAAAATAATTCGTTTTTATTCTTTATATAATTAAAATAAGATAAACTTTTTTAAAAGATATATTCTTTGCAATTATTTTTTGACTTTTATTGTAAATATTATATTTTTATGTGTATTGATGTTGTGATATTAAAAATTAAACATTCATTATTCACTAAAAAATATTATCGAAAATTGGCGAATGGCGACTTGCACACATTACACACTTACTATGTATTAATTACACATATAAATATAAAATCTTATTCATTTTACCATAATAAATATTATACAATCATGATAGTCAACTGGCTTCTAAACTTGAGTGGCGCTGTATTTATTTTGTCTTTTACTTTCTATATTTTATGAAATGCCTAATCGTGCGACATGGCTTACCTAACATCTTTTACCTTTTTTAAAACTTTAAAAAGTATATAGGGAATCAAAGTTTCTTTATAAATATTTATATAATAAAATTGAGAACTCTTTAAAATCCTAGTGTTAGATTTATATACATTTTACAGTTTATTATAAAGTGGGAACCCATTAACTCTTTTTTCTTGTATTTAAAAAAAAATCTAATTAAAAAACTTGTCCTAAAATTGAATAAAATTATTATTTTATATAATATTAAAAAAATATAATAATTTTGGTCTTGAAAATCTTCAAAAAGATTTTTTTTTTCTAATATATTTCCATAATATTTAATTTATAATATAATAATAAAATAAAATATTAAATATATTCTGTTTCTCAATGATAAATATCGTTATATTTTGATGTAGAATATTTGAATATGTGATTTTTCTTCTCTTGCAATTTTTTTGCACAACCACCCTCTCTCCCCCTAAATATTTATGAATATTATTTGGACAATTATTTTAAAAAAAATATGAATTTCAAAGCCCAGACATTGTGTTATGTTACGTTTATCTTATATTGTATACTATCTATACTATATTAAGTGTAGTTAGAGAAAAATATTGTTTTTTTATTTGCGTTTTATAAAAACGAGCTTGTGGCAAATTATTTGAAAGTATTATAATTATGTATATATAAGTATATTCTATATTATTATAATAATGGCTTAAATTATAATAAAAAGAGGCTTAGAATGTAAATAATGTTATATATTAATATAATAGGTGAGTAGTATAAAATAATTAATCTTATAAAAGTTATTTTTATGATTAACTTGACTCAGGAGGAATTAATTATGTATCATTTTTGTCACTTATTCTTTCATATTATTAAGTACTTAATGTTCGGGTGCGGGAGGTATACAGATTATTTTATTTGTGTCAAAATTAGACAAAGCCTAAAGATTTACGATGAACTGGTTAAAAAATTTAATAATTGAGCTGCTGGGGTTGAAAATATTTTTAAAGTAATAAATTTCAAATTATTTCTTAAATGAGTAGAAAATGGGTTTTTCAAATTAGTATATATTTTAATTTCATAAATATTGCGTCTTTTATAAGTTTAAAGTAAATAAATAAAGAAAACCAAACAAACCCCATCAAATAGTTTTCAAACATTGGGCGGGCCGGAGAGTTAAATTTATATTCAGATAAATGAGAGGTCACCCGCCCGTCCACTCAGAGCCACTATAGTTCCAATTTTAAATCATTAATTGAGCACGTTTTTTTTTTAAATTTAAAAAAAAATTTGATTTTGCGGGAAATTCTAATAAGCATAATTTTTAAATCATTTTTTAAAATAAATTTTCAAAAATTTTTAATATATTAATTTTCCCACATTTTTTTTTTAAAAATAAGATATTTTTTATATATAAATTAAAATCTATTGCATATAAAATTATTAGAAATTTATAAACAATATTTCAGTACATTTCTGGGTAAACTCAAAATTCATTAAATTTAGAAGTGAGCAAATAACAATAATAAAGCAAAACCCATCAACAAAACTATCGCCTTACCAAAAATTTAATATCATTTATCTCAAATTAGCAAAATATATTGAAGAATCTACGAATTTCGCAAGTTTTTCGAAGATAAGTGATTATTTTAAATATTTATTATATTTTTGTGAACCAAAACTATTTTTTTTTTTTGAATGATTAAAAAAAATATATAAAGAATAACATTATTATAAATTTTTTCCACACGCGCAAAAAAAAATTAGCAAAACGGCAAAATACCGAAACGAAAAACGAGTAATAAAAATAATAATAAAAAAAATATATTCTTTTTTATTTATTATTAATTTTTCTTTATAAATTTCACCACATTATCAATACCTAATTAATTGCTCAATTTAAAATTTATTTAAATATTAATATTAATTAGAATATTATAAATAATCATTTTATCTTTTTAAATTGATTTGAATTTTTCTTTTTAAAGTAAATAATTTCCTTCTTCAAAATAAAAGACTATAGAATTATGAATAACATATATAAGATTTTAAATAAATTTAGCTATGTGCGTTCGCTAACTAACACTCAATGATAAAATCAAAATTCTGTTTTTGGACACTTGTCCTAGGCGGTCTCCAGAATATTCTAACCTTTATATGGCATATTACAATTGTCTGCTCTATGGGCTGTAATATTCAAGCATTCATGATAAGCGACTCCCTGATCAAAGGAAAAACAATCAAAAACATATGGGGGAATCCCCAATTCTGCACGTCCCAGAAACATCCACAATATCATGCGTGCCATGACGATTTCGGTATTTAATTTTTTTTCTATCATTTTTGCATATAACTGAAAATAAAAACAGGCAGAGAAAAGAAAAAAATGAAAACCAATGGCATCTCTAGGACTGGGGCAAAAGAGACCTTTTTTAAAACTCTATTTAATTCGGCACGCTTTGAATCCTTTCTTTTTTTCAAATAATTCTTTAAACGGTTCCCTTTTTTGCTATGTAGGTCGTAATCGGATATTTTAATGTTAAAAACATAAAACACGGTATTTATAAATTTAAGGTAAAAAAAATTTAAAAGCACAATCAGTTTTTGATTATCAGAAAAATAATTATTTTTTTAAAAATTGATAAACTATTTTACATTCAAAATGTAATTATTTTAATGGTATCTAATTTCTTACTAGGGGGGCAGGAGTGTGTCAACTTTTTGAAAACAAAATCAAAATATAATATTTAAAATTAATAATATTTAATATTGGTAATAATGGTTAAAATAAATTTCTATTATGTATAATATGAAAAGCGAAATATACTTAATTAATCTTGAGATTTTTGTTTAAATTAAGATGATCGTAACAAAAACTTCTTTAGTTTTAGATCCCCAATCCGTAGAATTAGGTACAGCACAGTACGTGCACTTCAGTTGTGCACTTTAGCGAATTCTTATTTAACTAACACACTTCACAAATTTATTTAGTTTTAAAATAAAGATCACATACTAAACTAGAACCCACTTATAAAGAACCCGCCAAAATCGGCGAAATATGGACTAACTGGCGGATTATCTACATACTATCCTGTTGCTAAAATTCTGCTAAATTGGGTTTAAAATTCCTGAACCCTAATTAGGGTTTAACAACAAGCTTGAAATAACCCGTACATTATTAAGTGCCTATTCGGTTGCTAAAAATAAGAATTTTAATAATAACACAAAAAATATTTAAATATAATATTAAAATCTATACATATTTATCAATTGTATATAATGATTATGATTTATCGATCATTTAATAAATATTTTTAATTTAGAGCATCTTTAATTTTCTTTTAAAGTTTGTCGTCATTAAATAAATTGACAATATCAATTAGCGTAAAATAAAAAAAATAAAAATCAATCATTCTAATTTCTTTTATTTCTCATCTTTAAATTTTTAAAATGAAAAAAAAATGTAAACGGGGTTAATATTCTCTAAACGTAAATGAAATGCACATTACATTTTCCCTTTTGATTTACGGAACTAATCAACTCCCGTTATAACCATCCTATTTTTTTAGATCTGTTTTACGAGCGCTTTACCCATGAATTAATAAAATTTTTTATATGACTTGAAGTCTACTACTTACCTAAGCAAAGATAATCCTAAGATTTTGTTCATTTCTTTCGGTATCAGATTTATTAAAATTACTATTCGAGAGAATTCAAATTTTTCTCTTAATGAACGACTTATGGCCATGATCAATATTGGCATTTAAAAAAAAATTATTTTACACAATGTTATGATGGGAAAGTATAATTCTTTCCTAAATCTAAATCTAGTATATAAAGTGCCAAAATTATAGATTACAAATAGCGATCCGAAATTCACCATTTTTTTTGAAAAACTTTAAATACATAACATAATAATTTTTTTATATATTAAAACAAAATTATTATTGTTTTTAATGTCGTGGTTCTATGGTCAAAACGTTCGAGCTATATTTTTGTTCGAGAACGTTTTTCTACAGCTGGTGGTCTTTTTTTTGGAGTTATAAATAAGAGGCCTACAATGGGAAGGTTTTTAACCGTGACGCCTGCCTGCACATTGTTATAAGAGAATTTAACCCGAATTCCCATATCCGTCTTTGGTTTTTTTTAAAAATCTCCCACCCCCATTTATCTGAAAATATTATTTAACCCGCTATCCTACCGAATATTTGAGAATTTTTCTTTATTATATTTTAAATATATTTTTACTTTTAAACTTATAAAATGTGCAATATTATGAAATAAAAATATATTACTTATTAAATATATGCCCGTTATGCTCAAATATTATTATAAATTCACCAGCCAGTCCGCCCAGTGGTTTAATAATTATTTTAACCAGCTCATCCGCCTGCCAAATGTTTAAATTTTACCCGCCCGCCTACATCCACTCATATTATGAGCGGATCGCCTATTATCTATTATGAATACCCTCTATAATTCTAAGATTCATTATGCATCAGCTAAGAATAAACTCTTCCCCTTTCATACCTAAATACTCTATTTTAAAAGCACATTTGTCCATTTCTAATAATGACATTTTGACACCTTCTTTGAACTTTATTTTTTTTAAATAAAACTTTGGTATATATCCATTATTATTGGGTGATTGTTTATCTTTCTGCATTACGATACATAATCTTCAGAGCTATGGCTTAACTAGTCTTCACAATCTTAGGGGACTTAAAAATGACCTTTTCTTTTTTTTAGCTAACATTTTGAAAATGACCAAAAAAATACAGGGATTTTCAAATTTTTTATGGGGGGCTCGAACCCTCTAAGCACCTCCACTTTCCTAGTAACGCTACTGCTTTAGAGACCCTAATATAACAATGCTCTATAGGCACTCCCATAAAAATATTTTAATTTTATTAAAAAATTTTGGGTCTACTTTATCTTTCTCGTTAGGAGGTCCGATACCCTCGTCACATTCACGTGACTATGATAAAACCTTAAAACAAAACAAATAAGACATTTTTAAAAAAGTAAAAAGGAAATTTTTTTAAAATAAAAAATATTATTTTTTTGTCCAGTAAAATGTGCTATTATTGTTTTTTGAACTGTCCCCATTCTGGGATATATAAAAATTAAATATATATAATTGACCACCATTAAATGATCTCATTGATTACTAATTATTAGGTGACAATTTTGTGTCATAATTTAAAAAAACAACGACATGTGTCTTAAAGTCAAAAATTAATCATGAAACATTTGTATAATTTTAATTATGTATCATGTCATTCATTCATTATAAAATGTTTTTTAAAAAAATACTTATTTATACATATCAGCTTTTGTATAAACGATGGATTTTTTATTTAAATAACATGTTTTGCTTAAAATCATTTATCGAAATTCAATATCATAACAATTTTAATGTTGTAATTGTAATAAATACAATAAGAAAGTCACTTAATTTTTTCTTTGCCAGATTATCATCATCTCCCTCCCCTCTCCAATTTTTTCTTTGCTCAAAGTGATAACATTTGGTCATAATAGAAAATATATAATTTCTAATCCTACAGTTAAATATCCAAAAGGTCAAAAATGTCATATCTTTCTTGATCCATAAGGGTAGTTCTTCTGCTAAAATCCTCTATTTAGATGTGTATAAAAAATATATTTTGACTGTAATATTAATAATTATTTATTAATTAAAAGATTTTTTTTAAATCATCAAATAATCTGATATTTGTAATAGGATATCCTGATATTTTTTGAATTATAAACATAAATTAACCTTCTTTTTTAAAAATATATCTGTTTATTATAAGATAGATATAATGTATTAATGGGGTGGTTAATAATGAACTTAACGAAACTATCATATTTATTTTTTATATAAGAACTAATCTTTGCTCTACTTCCATCTGGAATATATGTGGTTTCGTAATTATTCTTTTTTTTGACTATTTATTATGTTACTTTAAAAAAAATCTTAGAGTAGTAATATATTTTGTATCGCATTGTTGGTTTTTGATGAGCATAAGGTCTATCTTTTATATCTATATTTCATATTTAAATATTAGTTAAATTTGACAATGAGCGAATCAAAAGCTCTATATTTAGCCAAAGTTTAGAAAGTGAGCTTATGATAAAAAAAAATGTTATTGCAATCTGTAATAATACAAATTAACTATACATTTCGATTAATCATTTATACAATTTTTTTTATCCTTTCTTCCCTTACTCCTAGTTTTGGTAACGATTTGGGTCGATTTTTTAAAACTCCCTGATTAAGATTATAGCCAAAATAATATTATGGAAGTCTCGAGATTTGGCAAATAGAAATCTAAACCTATCTGCCACCTTGGAAAATCTCCCACAAAATATTATTATGGGTAAAATCTTAATCGGATCGTTTTTAAAAATCAAACCAAATCGAGTTTTTTTAGCAATACTACTTCACCCTTTTCAATTCTCAAAAAAAATTCTAGTGTTTATTTCTAGCAAAATTCTTTTTTTAAAAAATCAATGTAATTTTTAAATTTTATACATTCAGACATTATACTATCCAGATTACCTCAGTTCTATTAACCCCCCCCCCTCCTCCATCCCTATTTCTTACCCTTTATCTAAACTAATATTTAAACAGAATAAAGTATGGCTAAATTTTAAGCTAATGAATGTTAAGTGTCATTCAGTTTATTTTTTTTTAAGAAACGGGAATCCAAAAGCCATTTAATCAATTATTAAACATTATAAATATTTTTAATTTTATTTTAAATTTTAAACAAGTTATAATGGCAAGAATCAAAGAACCTATTCAACCCAATACCGATACAAATACCCTCTACAAAATAGATACAAAAAAGATATACAAAGTTACTTTTCTTATATTATTTATTCATAAAATATACTTTATTTTATTTATATTATATAATTATTATCGCTTCTCAAATCAACAATTTTCATTTTATAAAATGTTCCTATAAACCCAGTCTTGAGAGATCAAAAGGGAAAAACTTGCTTTGACGATAATTATTTGCCATTTAGTATATTATCTTTTACCAAAGTAAAAATGAAAGCTGTGGCTCAGAGTCAGATGGTCGAAGATTTGAACTGAGCACATGGGACAAATTTTTTTATAAAAAATCCAACCAATTGGAAGAGATTAAGGTAAGGTAATAAGGGAATTAGAGAGATATGGAGTAGGGTTTATTTTAATAAAATTTAGCCATTGTTTAAGATGTTATTAAACATTGACCTAGACATACTACTAATATCATAACTTATAATTTTAACCGCTTAAGCTAACCAATTCTTAGTCGGTTAAAACCGAGTTTTTAGCCCAAAAAATCAATTGGCCTGGGGTTTTTTTTTCTTAAAAAAAATATAGCAGTTAAAATTTGAAAGAAACTAATATAAGCCTTAATTTTAATTAATTTTCTCCTAAACGTGCCCGTAGATTAAGGCAAAATTGGCGGACATTTTAGCCATTTTCATATTACTCCTTCCTCGAACTTTTAATTATTTTGATCTCTTTGGCCCACCCATCCTCATAAAAGATGCTTTATTTTTATTAACTTCTAATTTGTTTATGACCCTTTTTTTTCTAAAAAAAAAGTAACAACTTTCATTTTTATTGGATTTTTTTTTGAGGCTAATTTTTTAAAATATTATTTTTTAACGACCTTAAAATAAGGAGAATTTTATGATGTAAAAAAAACACATTAAATTCATTTCTTTTTATTTAAAAAAAAAATTAAGTAAAATTCTTGCCTTCATTTCTCTTTTAAATTTATATTCGAGATCGTGAATATAAAATCCGTATTGCAACCGGATCAGGTGGATCCTAAAGAAAAAGAGAAAATTTACTCTTTTTCGGGACAGTTTTGAGGGAATATTTTGAATTTGGTTTTATATAAAATATTGGCCAAAGTCTGTTGTGGATTTGTGGGAATATTTAATACTAATATGATATTAGATGATCTAGTATCTTTTTGCTCTGATTGAATATGCTTAAATTATCGCAATATTCTTCGCTTAAATAAAAGATTTGATTGATTTAATTAGAGGTAGGATTATATATTTTTTAAATAGGTGTATATGCTATAACTTTTCAATAGGGAAGGGGAGAGGGTTATTTACCCAGCGGTTATATGCGGCATGATCTTGAATGAGTCAAACCAGAAATTTAAAACTTTTTCAAAATAAATTTTTTTCAATGGTCATAATAAAAATAAAATTTAGAAAAAAAATTTAAATATCAAAAGCAATAAAAAATTTTTTTAAAATATAATTATGTGTATTTTAATTGCCAAAAAAAAGTTCAAAATTAAGTTTAAAAAAAAATTAAAATAAAACTCTCCTATGTCGATACTTAATAGCCGACTATTTATTTAAGTAAGCCAAAAAAGCAAAAAAAAAAACACTTTTTTTTAAAGATCGAAAAAAAAACAAAAAATTAAAAAAAACAAAAAAATTTAAAAAAAAAAAACTAGAATGCAATACGAAAAAATAGCAATGCCACAAATACTTAAAATAAACCAAAATTAAGGCATCTTAGATAAAATATTTTCATATACTAAAAGCCGACTTAGGACACGTCCTAAGCTTTTTTGAACTTTTAATTTTGGGCCATCAATTGATAAGGGGTCTACATAGCCTGATTCGCTTCCGCACGTTAAGTATTTTTTGCAAACGTGACCCATAATTTTTTTTAGAAAAGCAGGTCCGGTCTAGTCCAAAGAAAGTTCATCCTAGCACGTGATTTTAGGCAAATTTTCTAGAGATGTACTGATACCACCTGAAGGCAGATTCGATAGAATTTTTGGATCATCACATTTTTAATATCTATATCTAATTATCATTTTTTTTTCCAAAGTTAATTAAGTATCTCTCCTCTATGGCTATCTATTTCTAAAACTAAAAGTTTTATAAATCAATTGTGTTTGATATATGTATTGTGCATTTTTGCAATTGTAACCAAATCTGAAATAGTTTAATTTTTTTGTTAATTAACTATATTATTGATTCCTTATTTTAGTTAGACAGTTCTTAAATCGCAAAGATTTAAGCATATTGTAATTTATTTTCAAATAGTATTGATATAAATCAAAATATCTGTTTGGAATTAGTGTTGTAAAAAATCCCAATTTAGGTCGATTTTTAAAAACGGTCCGATTAAGGTTTTAGCCAAAATAATATTATCTAGGTCTGGAATTTTACTCATAGAGAATAGAAAGGTTTGGACCCCTATTTGCTAAATCTCGCTTATATAATATTATTTTGGCTAAAATATTAATCGAGCCGTTTTAAAAATCGACCAAATCAAGGCTTTTCAAAAAATATATAATAAAATTTTAATGCCCTGGCTGGCCTATTAAAATTTTACGAAAAATTAGAGATGTGCGAGTTCCTTGATATTTTATGTAAAAATTGTTAAAAAGTTAATCAAATTAGAGGAATAAAAGCCTTGTTGATTTTGAGTTTTCATTTTTTAAAAATTCAATTTTTATATATATAATAAAATGATAGTAGTTTTGCCAAAAATGTTTATTCCAACACGTCCAAAATACCTATCTTATGAATTTTAAACAATTTTTTTCTTTTGCAGAATTTTAAATTTATATAAATAAAATGTGTGAAAAAATTAGTAGAGAATAGAGATTAAAAGTGTGTCAAAAGTGCAAATTTCTGAAATTAATGGGTATTATATATATATCTGGAATGATTTTTAGGCAAATTTAGATTTAAATAAAAAATTTACTTAATAAATTATCAACTTCATAAAACGGATATGCTAAAATAATAAAAATGCGCGTTATTTACAAGTAAAAAAATTATATTATTTTCTTATTCTCAACTTGTAACTCTATTCAAAAATTGAATTAAAATAATTATAGGATGCAAAAAGTATCGCTATTTTTCGTTATCTCTCTATCCATCAATCACTGACCATGGGAAATTGCAAAAATTTTAAATTAATCACAGGAAGAAAATATCTTTTAACGGGTAAAAAAAATTTAAAATATGTTTTAATGAAATATAAAGAGTTAATATATCTATATAAATTTATTGTAGTTCATTTATTTTATAATTAAAAAAATTAGAGATATATAACTATATTTTCTACAATACAATATTTGTTAAATTTATTTATTTAATATTCAATATAAAGTTAATTTTAACTCGTTAATTAATATACAGACATACTTATATAGAAATATATAAAATATATAGGTCAAATATCCGGCTCGAAATACAAAAACGATGACGTTATAAAGATAGACAATCACAGCTGGATCCGGTCATGGCAAAACGTGACCGTGAGACAGAGGAAAGGATTTCACAAATCATATCACAATTATTGCCAATGCAAGGTTAGTATCGTTTAAACAAATTAAAAACCTGCTTATACCTTTGTGTATGTAGTAAGAAGACATTTAAGAGAGATTTGTAAGATAGTTTATTATAAATAAGAGAGAGAGAAAGAAAGGAACAATGTTTTTGAATAGTGTTATTAAACGGCTAGCCGATTTTTAAAAACGGTTAGCCCAATATTTTTTCCAGAAAAATATTACACAAGCCTAAAGATTTTGCTCATAGATGTCACAAAGGTCTAGACATCTATTAGCGAAATCTCGAGGTTTAGGTAATATTTTTCCGGCTAAGATATTGAGTTAGCCGTATTTAAAGATCGGCTCAAAACGAGTCGTTTAACAACATTATTTTTAAGGAATGTTTGCATGTGACAAGGTTTGAAAGGAGACCCACATATAACTTTTTAGAAATTTCGCTAATGTAAATAGTCGATATTTGTATGATCTCTTCATTGTACACAGTTTTAATTCTTCTTCTTCTAATTAAAAGTAAGACCAGTGAATATACATATCACAAATTAAACTGCATCTTATCAGTGGCCTAACAAAAATGTAGCAATGGCTGCGCTGTAGGCTGACCCTCATCTCTAGAGGGTAAAAAATTTCATTTAAAGTTCATATTAATCTTTGAAGAAAATCACTCTGGCTAACCTCACTTACGAATGCTTGTATTGTGTGCCGTCAAACCCAATACATCGTTTGTTACGTCACATTGTTATGTGTGCTTAATAATTTGAATAAAAAAAATTTTTTTATTCTATTTAAAAATAAATTCTATCCCCATATCCCAAAATCTCAAATTATTTTAGATGAAATTTTGCAAATTCAGTTTCATTGATCGATGTAGTAAAGAACCTCCACTGTCATCTAAAAATAACTCGCTATATCTCAAAAAAATGGAGCTATTACAAAATAGGTATATATATATATAAATATATAAATGAACGTATTATCTTTAATCCGAAAATATTTAGGGTTGTTGTCATTTTATTAAAAAATTTATAAAACCTTAATATAGCTTTGTTTTTTTTTAAAACAAAATAAACATTTAATAAATAGCGTTTTGGTCGATAACACTTACCATAACCTTTGTAGGTTCGGCTCCCTTCGACCTAAATTGCTCAAAGATTGCCAAAATAAGTGGACATTTTGCCAACAAATAGGCCAAGATGCCTACGAATGGAACAGAAACGAATACTACATAAATTGTTTAAACAGAGAATCACAATCTAAATTTAACAACTTTACTTAAGATACAAGTCTGATAAAAGACTTATGAAGAACAATTCATTGAATGTGTTGTTATAAGGAATCTGTCTTTTTTACATCTTACTAAAAAAAAGAAGAATATATGTATTTTTTTACCTTATCCTAAGGTGGTCTAAAGTTTTTTTTAGATATCTTTTACTTTATTAGTCCTAATCTATTTTTGCAAAAACTTTCTAATAAATAACTTAGGAGAGCTATATCAAAAATAGATGAATACTATCCAAAAACATTGAATAAAAATTTTGCTCTTAATATCAAAAATACCTTTAGAATATCTATTTATAAAAAATTGTTAATTATGTATTAATGCCAATGTGTGATTCACGAGACCCAAGAATTTTGGAAAATTTTTATAAGTTTAAAGTCACTTATCTACTTCACTCAAAAAATAAATAACAGAGGCTCAATTTATTGAAATAAAAAGCAATCATTCCTTCCTCACTCCCTCCATGCTTTCGTCCTTAAAAAAATTTACATTTAAGAAAATATATCCTCGTAATATATAATATGCAATTAATCTATAATATAGAATAACCATAAATTAAATCAATTAATAAATGTATAATGATGTATTATTACATTTTTTCATTATGTTTTCTATTATTATAATAATATATTTATATTATATAATTAAATTAAATTTATGTAAAATAATATGTAAAATAGCATTATGACAATCGCTTTTTTTATAGCTAAATTTTGAATATAGAATAAAGAATTCAAAAAACTTAGAATAGATATTAATTAAAAATTTCTTCATTATCTTATTGTGCTTCCTTCCTTCCTTTTCTCCAGATGTCAGCTCAGAGTTTTCATGATGAGGCAACCAGACCATATTTACTCCACCCCCCCTTCCTACCTAAGATATCTTTATTACCTATCCCTCTAAAGAACATACCTTATATATGGTGGTGTATGTCACTTATCCTTTCCACCCTCCCGATTATGTATACACTCTGTCTATGCCTCATATCCTTCAGGAAAATAGCAAAAATTAAAAATCATAATAGAATTGTATTGAATGCAAAAATAATTACGAGAATAAATAACAATAGACTAGAAATTGGAAGTAACAAAGTTTTTAATGTAAATAATATTAACGGGGCTCTACTAACGTCTAAAAAGGTTGTTAAAAAAAAAGAAGCCAATACATTATTAGGCTTTAAATAATATTTAATTATTAAATATTAAAGCCAATACATTATTAGGCTTTAAATAATATTAATTATTAAATATTATTTCTGGTTAAGATTGTCCCAGAGATTACTCTTTATCGAATTATATTCAAATGTAAACTTGTGATGTCATCATATTCTTTTATAATATCAATGATATAATACACAAATTTTCCCTGAAGATAACTAAGAAATTTTAAAAAAATGTATAATAATTATAGTTATAGTCTGCTAAGCGTTATAGTGTTCAATGTCCGCTTCAAAGTGCATTTGGCGCAAATTCGAGGAGAAGTATACAAAAATTAATGCAAAATTATTATTTATATAACATATTTTGCATATTTCGCCTTGAATTCCCTCTAACCGTGAACGCATGGTTATTCGCATCATTAAATTGTGACCTGCTCTATTAAAAATACAAAAATTATTTTATTTAAAAAAAAAAATGGTCTCCTGGAATATTTTTATAAAAATGGATATAGAACATTATTATACTCAGCAGACGTGATTCTATTTATATTACCATTTCCTTGTAGTTGGGATAGTAAGCCTGTTCTATGAGAGGGAATTGCTCCTTTCCAAGTTTCTGCTGAATTTGGATTAATTCCGAAAACTAATATAAAAATTAACTTCGAATAAATTCTGGAGAAGAAAAAAATGGAAGCTAAGAATTAATTTTAAAAAAAATGAATAAAAAAAAACAAAGAGAGAAAGGAAAAAGTAAATTTACAATTTTGGGTTTGTCGTGGAAATTGTAAATTGATTCGAGAGAATTGAGAGTCGGAACGTTGCCGTACATAAATCCCAATAGGATATTCTTCCAATCATCTCTTACATCTTTAACGTACTGGCGGATGAGTATGAAATCCGGTTTAAATGATCTGAGGGGGTGGAGGGATTAAGAATTAGGAAATATCAAATTTATTTTCTTTCTTTTATATCCTCGATAAAAATTAGGGGATTAGAAAAAAGGGGCATTTAGGAATTTTTTCTGTTATTAATTGTAATACTAATAATTAATAAAGTATGGAGTCTGTAACCCTTTAAATCGGGTAAAATCTAGTTACTGGAACCAGAACATTTTTTACCACAATTATTTCAAACTAAAAACAGGGGCGAAAGTATGATGATCAAAAAAAATTATTGTAAATATTATCCATTTAGCCTCGATGTGCATTGAAGCTACTAAATATTAATCGTCTATTTATGATATTTTATCCAGTTAATTCGTTTATAAATAAGAATTTTAAATACAAACTTAAAAAAACTACAATAAATTAACTAACTAGGAATTTTCACTTAAGGAAGAGATAGGGCGGTAGGGCATTGGAGTGCCGCAATTTAATTTTTCTTTTTAAACATATTTCGATCATATTCATTTTATTATCTTATTATGTGTTAATAATACTAGATTCGTCATTTAAATGGGATTCTAGAATAAATAGTCAAGAATATAAATTAGTTTATTATGTTAGGTGTTGTAATTTATAGTAGTGAAGTATAAATAATTTGTAATAAATGACGAAATCGGGAAGGTTTATAATAATAATTTTTATTTTTTTTAATTATAATTCCCTTTATAATGGCAAATAAAAATAAATTAGTCAATTTTCTGTAGGCCATGATATGTTTTGGGGATGAGTATAGCCCTTAAATGTTTTTCCTTATTTATGGTCCTTAATATAATATGCACATGCATCCTCAAAATAATTTCAAATATTCACCAGATTGCAAGAGCACTGGTAGGGATGAATGAAGTATAATACTTTAAAATCAACCTCATTAAAGGTTTCTTAAAGGAAATAAAACATATATTAGCCGGTTTTCTTAAATTATTTTTAAAAGTAGAAAGGTTTTCGACAAAACCCAACGCGCTTAGTTAATTGTGGTGATTCAAGAATGAATCAGATATAAATATTCATGAGAATCTACAAATTCCCTGCCCTGATATTCACTCTTAGCTTAATCTATTTCTATTAACCCGATATTTAAATTCTCATGGGGGAAGAGAGGGCATTAATCATATTTCCCTGGGTAGTGTAGATGGAAACATCTCGCACAATTAGATAATAAAGTTTCCTGAGTTTATCTTAAAAACATGCAAAAGTGATTGATTTTAGCCGGCTTTAAGTAAATGTGGGCTTTGTAAGAGTCGAATGATGCCGAAATTAATTTCAGCTCAGTTAAACTCTCTAGAAACTAATAAATCTCTGCCTAAACCTAATTAATATGTTAGTTAAAAATTTGTTAAGCTCTGAATTTCCCTAATATAATTTTAAAATGACGGAATATTCGCTTATTAAATATAATTTATCATCATCTTCTCAATTTAGATTTTAGATCTCATAATTTATGTCCATTCTTTAAAAAAAGTCAATGATTCTATTAATCTTAATTATAAAAAATATCAAGTTAATATTAGCCATTAAAACAAATTAATTAATAGACATTTTATATTTACCCGATTGTCTCTGGAGTTAAACATGCCTTAGCTGGAGTAAAAATTGATTGCAATGAACAAGTATCTGCCTTTCACCGTTCTGTTACACAAAATAGTGTTTCTACCATAGGATATTTTAAAAAAATCTTTGAAAGTTAATAAGGGATATTTGTTTTAAAATTGGAAGACATAAAATAAGCATTCAGAATTTCTTCAAGAAAATAGCACCTTCTTCATTTTCCAACACAAGTGGTTGGATTCAATTAAAGAGAATGATTGAATCTTTGTCCGATGAATATAAGTTCTAGCCGATCTAGTGGTTATCCAGCCGAAAGAAATTTTTTAATTACTAATTTACTGATGACATTTCCTCATTTGGTAACCTTCTTTAAGAAATTCAGCCATTAGTAGATAAACATAATAGTTAATCTCAAAATTATTTTAAAATTTATGAGTAATAAATAGATTAGTCTGATATGTTTTAATTACCTGCTAAGGCGTAGCCTTAACTACATATTCCTAAACTCACAATCAAAAAAACTATATTAAAATAGAAATGGCAAAAATAAGGGACAGAACAAAGATTATCTTTCCAAGCTTGCATTTCACAATATATTATATTTTTATAAATTGATAAATTTTATATGATACATTTTAAAAATATACAATTTTAAAAAAAAATGATTTTCTTCCTTCCAACGATAGATAAAATAATATGATATGCAAAGAATAGCAGTTAAATGGCACTAACTTGTGGAGGATCTTTTTTTAGCAAGATGATAATAGAGAATGGTTCAAAATCGATTGGGTTTATTACGGTGGAAAATGATTTAAAAAGCTTTTTTTTAAAACTCAATTATCATTATAAAACAACAATAACTGAATAATGTCATTATGGTTATAGGTAACTTTAGAACCTGGTATTATATTAATGATATATTATCATTTAGATATAATATAATATGTTTCGTATTTATCAACATTATAATTAGAAATATGTTTACCTAATAACCTTGGTTCCCCCTTTCATCAATTGCATATCAACCACAGTCCCAGTGTCGGTATAAGCTGCCACATTTATCTCCTTGAATTCGGCCTTTTTTTGAAATAGTCAAAAATTAATATAATATTATATATTATAACATTTTGAATTTATAATGGTTATTTTTGACTTAATTAAGGTATTAGTTAAGTACCAGGTCTGCTACCGGCGCAAAATTTATTTTCTATGCATCTCTATGAATTAGAATCTTTATTCCTTTAAACGATCTCGTTTATTTAAACCCTTCAGCCAAAATATTACACTCACTATTCCTTCCTTTAAATCCTAGTTCGAATCGAATCATTATCCAATTTACAGAGTTAGAAAAGATACTTTCTTTTTACTTTGTAATACAAAATTAAATATTGTAAAATAATAAATTAAAAGTGTAATTATAAAAAGGTGACAAATTTTGCAAATAACTAATATTAATTAAAATAAAATTTTGGTCCTTTTAATAACAACCACAATATTTTTTTCTATATAATTATCTTTAAAAAAGTGTATGATTGAAAAGGGGGGGGGGGGGTTAAATATTCAAAAATATTTTTAATTTTTTTGAATTATTAATTACTTGTTCCAATCTGATTTCCCATTCATCGTTCAGCGTTTTCCCTTTGAAATATTTCGACCTTTAAAAAATAATATCATAATTATAATATAAAATTAAACACCATTATTTCATATTGTTGGTTAAAATTGCGTAAAGCAAATGTCACGTTATTATATTTATTTGAACCTTTCCTCTGTTTGCTTCCACCGACAAATTAATCACTTAACAAAACATCACAAACATAATATTTCGTTATTTCAAACAAGCCATTATGATGGCTATTCATCAAATGAATGTTGTTAAACGGCTCGAATAAGATTTTGCCCAAAATAATATTGTCTAAGCCTCGGAATTTGGTAAATAGAGGTCCAAACCTTTCTGTCATCAATGAGCAAAATCTCCAGGCTTACATTATATTATTTTGGTTGAAATTTTAATCAGGCCGTTTTTCATGAAAATAATTGCATTGTTATTCATGGTTCCATATAGCAATGCAAGTAAACCGACCTTTTAATTAGATATTTGCAGGCAGGGCTGGGTTATTTAAAAAAAATAATTTTGATTTGAGTGAGTCGGGTCTAATAATTTTAAAAAAATTTTGGGTAGGGTCATGCTAAAATTTTTTATTATGATATCATTAAATTTTGTCAAATAAATAGATATTTAAAATTCTTGCAAAAAACAAGGTATTAATATTTTATTTGACCTTTGTTTTAAAATTCGTTTTTTAATAATAAATTCAATGAATATAAATAATTCTTCATTTATTATATAATGTTTTAACCAGGGATGCGAACCCGGCAAAATTTTTGCTCGGGTTCGGTTCGGGATCGGTTTAAGGTTAAAAAAAATAGGTGGGTTCGGTTCGGGTTTGGTTCAGGAAATATTTTTGAACCCGGGTTTGATTCGGGTTCAGCTCGGGTTTAAGAATTTTGGAATTGATAAAAAAATATTCTATATTTAAATCATAATAAAAAAACTAGACATAAATTTGGTATAAAAAATAAATTTTTTATTTTATTTATAGGCAAAATATAGTTAAAAATACAAAGCATAATAGTCATGTATAAATTTAAAAAATTTTATTTAGACTTATTTGAAAATATTATAAAATGTCAAGTAAATTATTAATATTTGTATTTACAATTATACAAATATCTTATATTAATTTAAACAACACTGGACCTGGTTGAATCCGGGTTCAAATATAATTTCCGAGTTCGGTTCGGGGTTTTGAAAATTTTATAACAAGTTTCAGTATCGGTTCGGCTTCAGGTTTTTTCCCCAAAAACTTGGGCTTTCTTTTTTGGGTTCGGTTTGAACCACTGGGTTTTTCCAAATATTAATAAGAATGGGATATTTATATTTTTTAAATTAAAAAAAATTTTTTTTGATATAAAGGTAGAAGGATATATATTAAAATTTAAAAATAAATATAATGTTTCTATTTTTCGGCATATTTAATAAAATAAAATAAATGATTATATCTTCTGATTAAGCTCGTTCTCATCACCCTATAACTTTTAGTGATAGATTAAAGTTCAACCCTATCGATCTCAGAGCCTAAATTAAACCTTTTCCGAATAACTGGTAGGTTCTTTTCTTTAATAATGGAGGCCTAGTCAGGTCTCTGATATTTAGTTCATACCGGTCAAAAATAAATAAATTTAAATCATTTTCTTTCTTCCGCAATCCCCAATTTTAAACAATTTATACTAAGGAAGGACGATTTCTAACTTTTTAAGAATTTGATATTAAATATAAATTTGAATTAATAAAAATATTCGTGTCAAAATTTCTTAAAATTTAAAGGTATTATTGTATATACTGAAATATATTTTCGGCAAAATCACGTTTTTAAAAAAACTTAAAATCGCGCCCAAAGTAAATGGTTCTAAATTGAGAGATTCTAAATCACCATGGGAGGATTCTGACTTGGTCTTTATTCCAGATTAACTAACCACATATATATAATTTAAAATTTAATTAAATCCGAAATAAATTTAGGTTTAACGTTGTTCTGATAGTATGTTAATACTACGCACTAGAATTTTAAAAAGAAAGAAAGAAAGAAAGAAGGAAAGAAAGAAAGAAGGAAAATAAGAAAAAAGAAAGAAAGAAAGAAAGAAAGAAAGAAAGAAAGAAAGAAAGAAAGAAAGAAAGAAAGAAAGAAAGAAAGAAAGAAAGAAAGAAAGAAAGAAAGAAAGAAAGAAAGAAAGAAAGAAAGAAAGAAAGAAAGAAAGAAAGAAAGAAAGAAAGAAAGAAAGAAAGAAAGAAAGAAAAATATATCTTAATCCCATGAAATATCAATAATCATAGCTCCTTGTCATAACCCTGTTATAAAATTGTATGAAATTTAATCAAATACGCCATCTTGCTGAAGAAATATTTTAAAATTATATATATTTTTATTGTAATTATTTTTAAAACTACTATATAATCGAAATAATTATTAAAATCATAAATTATTTAATTTAATAATAAATTAATGATTAATTCATACATTATACTTTATTTTACATTATGCGAAGATTTAATTGTAATGACATTTTTTATAAATGATTTATTCAAATCATAGTTAGTAGAGTATTTAATTAATTTGTTACACTTGTGTAAATAAAACGCGTTCGTTTTTTACGTTTGTTCAATTATAAAACGAAAACAAAATTTTATTTTTGTTAATTTTTATTGGCCAGTTTTTTTCCTCATATTATTTTTTTTCTATTTTAGTAAGGCATAATCCCATGAAATCTTATAATAATATATATACCATACCAACATTTGTAACATCCCAACAAAATCCTAATTAAAACTCTTATAGCCATCATAATTATTTAGGTTAGGAATAATAAATAAATATTAGTTATCCATAATCAAACTTATTTTATATTAAATATTAACCCACCAAATACATTTAACTATCTCTATGGTATTTTTAATCTTAACCTAATCCAAGAGATTGAATTCAGAAAAATAATAATATTGGCTCCATAGGGGAATCGAATAAAAGAAGAAGAAAAAAGATAAGTATGGAGGATTTGAGAATATTATTATGTTAATTTTTATTTTAAAAAAATTGTGTATTTTTTCAATTTTTTTTAAACCAAAAATAGGGGAGTGATATAGATTGGGAATGGGAGAAAAATAAATCGCATCTGTATATAAAACGGTAAGCGGAAAATAATTCCCCGGAAAAAAATTCCAGGAAATTAATTGCCTGGAAAAAAAATCCCCGGAAAATAAATTCCCGGAAATTAATTACCCGGAAAAAAATCCCCAGGAAAATAATTCCCCGGAAAAAAAATACCCGGAAAATAATTCCCCGGAAAAAAATTCCCCAGAAAATAATTCCCAGGTAAATAATTCTCCGGAAAAAAAATCCCCGGAAAAAATTTCCCCACTATACATTGAATTGCTAATGCATTGCTAAACTGCATCGCTAAAAAGCAATCAATCATAATTAATTATAAATCAATCAAAAATTTATTACGCATATTTTTTTAATGATAATTTTTTAAACAGTAAGAAATTTATTTTTCTAGCTTATTAAAACAAATATACATTTTATTTAATTTTAAAAATTAACAAATATATATCCGTAAGAGGGCGTTATATGTTTGAATATGTATCATTTTAGGAAACCTGAATGATGATTGGATAGCACTTTTTTTATATTTGGGTATATATATACATATGAAAAACCTAAAAATTAAAATTTTTTTTTAGGTTTCTTTGATGTTTAATGAGTAGGTTTAGAATAGTAAAACAATGGAAATTTTTTAAAGTAAATATTGCTGGCGTTATTTATCAAAATCTCTTCATTTTTGTTTTATACGTGTATATTTACGTGCTAAGCATTATTCTAAAAAATATTTTGAAAATAATTTGATTTGACCGATTGCCGAGCTCAAAACCGACCACTCACTAAATATTCGATTGACCAAATTTATTATGAATATAATTTGAAAAATGTTGATTTTCGTTTTATATATCTATAAATACGTATAAAACATAATCCTAATAATTCTTCAGAATTAATTTTATCAAAATTTTTAAATATTTTATTTGAGAATTATTATTTCGTTGATTTATTTATAGGGAATTTTTTCTCCTAATTTTGTAATTTTAATTATCTTAAAAACGGAGATTTTTTTTCCGGGGAATTATTTTTCTAGATTCTTTTTTAATATAGCTTACATTTAATATATTTATTGTAGCTTTCGTTCTCTTCGCTACACTGCACAAGGTACGATTCCCAAACAATTTATTTTAAATGAAATAGTTACATTTCTCATATTTAAATAAATATATTATGCTAAGCTAACCTATCTCATATTTTACTTTTAATAAACCTTTTATCGGTCCGTTGTCTCACCCCCTCCTTCATTATTATATAGGATTTAACTTGTAATATACAATAAATTTATTGAATTTAAAACAAATTAAACAATAACATAAAATTTATCGAATTTAAAAACATTTAATGGTAAATCTAAATATATTTCCGCGAATATGAAGTTGATGATTTATTTTCAAAAAAGATACTCCAGCAGTAGTCCGCCAACATATTTATACGATTCTTGCCGGGAAAACTTAAGACCCCCCAAAACGAAATTCTTTACCATTTTTCTCAAAAAGCAATCGATAAAAAATTATAAAAATTAATAAATTTATAAGGAAATATAAATCTAACACTATCACCAATTTTCAGGGATTTTCATTTGATACTTTTTAAAATATATCCGTATTACCATTTTTGAGATTTCGAAAAGTTGCCTTTATACGATAATATAAAACTTGACGTGAAGAGAAAACTTAGAAAACGAATTCGAACTCAATGTCAAATTCTACACCAAAACTTGTTTTTATTTATTTTTTCTTCCATTTTTCTTGTCACACAGTACAATTAATAAAAATTGATAAAGACATAAATATTAAATAAAACCTATACAATAATTTTAATCTATATTTTTTCAACTTTTAGGTAGAGATATCAACATCCAAGGATGTTTTTATCATCTAACTCAATCAACTCATAGAAAGATTCAGGAATTGGGGTTAGAATCATCATATCGGAAT